TCTTTATTTTGTTGTATTAGTACAAAATGAAAATAACGCTTTTGAAAGGTGTTTAGTGAACGTAAAGAACAGTAACGTGGATGGAAAACTGGGTGTACGTGATTTCCTTGTGATGCTTGCAAAATGACCTTGTAAATTAAATTGATCGGTTGTTACCGTGTGAACGCTGATGTAAGTTGACGAAGGGTAACAATAATAAATAATATTTGGCATTAAGATGATACTATTAGGTTTATTTTATTTATGTTATTTAGGACAGAACAAAGAATGCAGTGTTAATAATGTAATAGGCCTAATACTGTTGTTTTATCGCACGTAATTTAAAAACTTAAGTTACTTGTAATGCTTGCGTTTCGATCTTACGAATTCAGTAAGGATTTCACTGACCACATGTTTGTTCAAATGCGGTTATATAACAAGTTTAAGAAGGACACGAAGCCTTACTTCTTTCCTTCTGTGTCTGTATAAACACAGAAAGAACATACAGCAGTGTTTTTACATAGTTCACGTTAATCACAAAAAACTCAAGGAAAGTTTGAAAACCAGTTTAGTTTGTACACCTCCTGGTGGTCCTTCTTTATACAAGGTTATAAACTTTGTTTCACACATGAGTTTTCTTCTTGCCCTGAACTAGTGCACGTGTGTCTACTTCTACGCATCTTAGCCCAACCTGTTTATCTTATACAGTCACTTACAAATCTGACAAGTACCCTGCTCAATATTTCGTGTGTCTGAAAGTAACTGAAACAGGTTTCCTCACAAGTTGACGGTTAGGTTTTTAATTTGCAGTTCTACGGTTTTCCATATACTTTATGGGGATCAAACATCGTTCTCGATACCGCTTTGAAACTAGTATGGTAACTACGTAATTAGTGTGGTGTGTAGTTTATTCGAACACATCACATAACTAGTGTGGTGTGTAGTTTATTCGAACACATCACATAACTAGTGTGGTGTGTAGTTTATACGAACACATCACGTAACAAGTGTGGTGTGTAGTTTATACGAACACATCACGTAACTAGTGTGGTGTGTAGTTTAAACGAACACATCACGTAACAAGTGTGGAGTATAGTTTATTCGAACGCATCACGTAACAAGTGTGGTGTGTAGTTTAAACGAACACATCACGTAACAAGTGTGGTGTGTAGTTTATACGAACACATCACGTAACTAGTGTGGTGTGTAGTTTAAACGAACACATCACGTAACAAGTGTGGTGTGTAGTTTATACGAACACATCCCGAAACTAGTGTGGTGCGTAGTTTAAACGAACACATCACGTAACA